TACAACAAAGGTGAGAGTGGTCTGAACTGAACTAACGGAACTGCAGCACACACACACAAACACGCTCATGCCACTTGGAAAAACGCTAGTTACAACAAAGGTGAGATGAGACTGAACTGAACTAACGGAACTGCAGCACACACACACACACACACACACCACATGTCACTTGGAAAGGCACCGGTTACAACAAAGGTGTGAAGAGACTAAACTTGAACGAACGGAACTGCAGCACACACACACACACATACACACACACACATGTCACTTGGAAAGGCACCGGTTACAGCAAAGGTGAGAAGGGACTGAACTGAACTAACGGAACTGCAGCACACACACAGACACACACACACCATATGTCACTTGGAAAGGCACCGGTTACTGCAAAGGTGAGAAGAGACTGAACTGAACTAACGGAACTGTTGCACACACACACACACACACACACACACACACACACACATACACACATGTCACTTGGAAGGGCACTGGTTACAACAAAGGTGAGATAGGACTGAACCGAACTAATGGAACTGCAGCACACACACACACACAGACCACATGTCACTTGGAAAGACACCGGTTACAGCAAAGGTGGGAAGGGACTGGACTTGAACTAACGGAACTGCAGCACACACACACACACACACACACACACACACACACGTATGTCACTTGGAAAGTCACTGGTTACAACCAAGGTGAGATGGGACTGAACTGAACTAACGGAACTGCAGCACACACACGCACACACACCACATGTCACTTCGAAAGGCACCGGTTACAGCAAAGGTGGGATGGGACTGAACTGAACTAACGGAGCTGCAACACACACACACACACACACCACATGTCACTTGGAAGGGCACCGATTACAGCAAAGGTGAAAAGGGACTGAACTGAACTAACGGAACTGCAGCACACACAAACAGACACACACACACACACACACACATGTCACCTTGCAGGGCACATTCCACAACAGATTGGATAGATCCGGCCAAGGGGAAAATTTACCGAAACATCCATGAGTGATCCGTTACTCTACCAATCAACAGATGAGTGCAAAACAAGAGTTTGGACTGATCAGACAAAGGGGAAAGTTTACCGAAACATCCATGAGTGATCCGCTACTCTACCTACTAGTGTATGAGTGAAAGACACAAGTTTGAGGAGCTCTAATCACCAAGATTGCATCCTGAATCACCCTTGAGTGTTGCGCTGTACCACCTACTAGTGTGTGAGTGAAAAACACAAGTTTAAAGAGCTCTAATCACCAAGGTTACATCCCGAAGCATCCATGAGTGTTGCACTATACCACCCACTAGTGTATGAGTGAAAAACACAAGTTTGAGAAGCTCTAATCACCAAGATTACATCCTAAAACATCCATGAGTGTTGCACTATACCACCTATTAGTGTATGAGTGAAAAACACAAGTTTGAGGAGCTCTCATCACCAAGATTACATCCCGAAGCATCCATGGGTGTTGCGCTACACTACCTACTAGTGTATGAGTGAAAATCACGGGTGTAAATAACCCAAAACACAAGCAATTAACATGAGATCATTCCTAGAAGAATCGTATCACTCCCTACTAGTATGTGGATGAAAAACAAGAGTTTGATTATCCCAAAAAAAGAAGAAGATAAAGAACAAAGAGAAGAAGGGGAAGAGGAAGAGGAAGAACAAAAAGAAGAAGGAGAAAAGGAAGAGGAAGGAGACTAATGAAGAAGAGGAGAAGAGAAAGAAGAGGAAGAAGAAGAGGAAGAAGAAGAAGAAGAAGAGGAAGAAGAAGAGGAAGAAAAAAGAGAAGAAGAAGAGAAAGAAGAAGAGGAGGAAGAAGAAGAAGAAGAAGAAGAAGAAGAGATTTTCTTCCATCCACTCAGTAGTGGAGAGGAGAGAGACATTGTCACCGTGTGATGACATCTACCTCCTCCATCCGTCTCAATTTCTCCCGTAATATAATCCCCTCATTTCCTTGGTTTTCACAACTCTCTGGAAAGGTATAAATCATATCAGAGTAAAAGTCTACTCTGTGAAAGACGGATGTTCAGACGGTCTGACAAAAAAGGGCGATTGAGGGAGCTCTGCCGGAGTTCAGGAGGAACTCTGGAGGCATGGAACTATAAGGTACGCATGATTCGCTTCCTTCCCGTATCCCTTACTAATTACGACTCTCTATTATATTGCATGAATGAATGTATGCTATAAAGTCTTCTTGTTTCCTTCAGGAGTAAAACTTTCAGAAAGAAGTGAATGAACGTATGATTGAAGTAAGAATCTTGCCTGATGTCAGGAAGGAACTTAGGAGAACCGAAAAGGAACCTAGTTTGTTTGGTTCTAAAACATAAAGCCGTGTGATGGAGGTTCTCGTAGGGTCATCACACTGCTTGTATGAGCTTACTAAACTGGATGATGGGGTGCTCGCTGTGCGAAGTTACCCTGTCATTCATCTGACTAAAATAACAAATTGGTGTAATGTCTGTTTGATTTCGACATTGGTAGTGAGAAAGTGCCGTGCACTTTCTCTATTGACTTAGAGGCTACATCTAAGGGGGGTGATCCGGTACTCCCGTAGGGTACATGTCTTCAACAATTAACAAAAGCAAAGGTAGTTCAAGGTTCCCGTGGGGCTCTCCTATCACAGATCTGACCAGACTTGGAAAGGAACTAAGTGTCCACCGTGTGTAGCGGACCCACCGGGAAGGTGCTCCGCTTGGGAAAGTGATGAAGATGGAGGATGAGGGAGGAGCGAGATAGCACAACGCAGCTCCCATGCAAGTCTCCAACGTACGTACTCTAAACCGTGCAAGTGTAGAATGATCCGAAAAACAGACAATGGCTGGGGTATACCCCAGCGGACTGACGGGACTGGACCGGACTGGCTGGTACCGACAGAGGTACCGGCCTGGACTGGACTGCCCCGAATAAAACACAGGCCTGTGAGAACAGGCCAAGGGGCTGGTCTCACAGGCCCACCAGAGGTCCGCTACACGATCCTCGGCCTGTGATGGATCGCCTAGATAAAAACATGCTTCCGCCAAGAAGCGGAACTCTACCAAAGAAAAGAAAACTTGAGTAGTCTAGGATGCGGAGCAAGCTCCATGCTGAGTCCATGCAATGCAACCTAGGTTAGAAAATGTCACAAAACAGCAATGTCACAGCTAACAGCCGAAGTAAAAGCAGAAGCAACTAACTAGCATACATATCCTAGGAAAGCAGAAGCAACTAACTAGCATACATGTCCTAGGAAAGCAGAAAGTAATGACAATTAGATCCTAAAATGTTGGAGGCAGTAGCCTCAGTCTGGAAACAACTGACTGCTGTATAAGTCATAAGAACAACAAAAGCAGGACAACTAAATCCTAGAAATGTCAGAGGCAGTAGCCTCAGTCTGAGAGCAACAGGCAACAACAAGACAACCATATGTCACAGGAGAAGTGTGCCGCAACCAAAGGGCGGGATGGTCTCTGAGGGTGGCGAATGCAGCCAAGGGGTCGAAAACTCCTAAGGACATCCACACATAGATAACAGGGAGATACATGTCGTCAGGCTCAATGAGGGTAGGGAACTGGTAGCGAACAGAACCAATGACCCTAATAGATAGACCATCTGGGCGGGTAAAGCTCGACTAAGGGGTGACCGCTATGGAGGGTCGACCATGCAAGGGAACAAGGGAGCCTGGTATACCGGGCGCACCTAGATGAAACATGAGGGGCTGCCTAACTAGGGCGTGAGGGCCGGCAGAGGGTAGAAAGGTGATGGGTAGGGGAATTATACAAATGACTCCTAAGAGAGGGAAGTCGGAGCTAGATCCGTAAGATGGGAAGCCAGGGCAACGCTACGGTCCCGATGCCTATGCGTATACCAAGGGAGAGCCCAACTCAGAGGAACCCGGTTAAAGGGAGACCATCATGCGACACAAGTAGGGTACTGTACAGGGTAAAGTGGTAAGGAAGTGATGACGTCTGAAGTAGGCAGAGTTAATCATGACGAAGTCCATGAAGCTGCCGATGACGTCGACGATGAGAAGTCCGGAATGCCGTCGAGGAAGAGCCGCAAAATCGACGAGCTGAAGTAGCAAAACTGGAGTGGATGGGGTACTGAGAAGTCAAAGACGTGGGAATATAAGTCAGAGTCAATCGTCGTATCGAGCAGGACGACGACGAGTGCGCTGTGAACGCTCAGAAGCATCCGGCTGCTGTTGAAGGTCTGCCTCAGATGGACCAGGCTCGACTTCAGCGGTCTCCTCAGCCGGGGGAGAAGGAGGAGGGTCAGTGGGCTGAGGAGGAGAAGTAAACCCAGCACGACGAGCACGGTCATAGGCACGCACCAGCATGCGAGCGTGCTGCAAGTGCTCGAGGGGCTCCCAGGTAGCCTCCTCATCAGGGTAACCCTTCCAACGTACGAGATACTCGATGTGGGGAGGGTTGTCGTCGGTGACTCGGCGACCAATGATGTCTGAAACGAGGAACTCCTCGTGGTCATCCACCATAATGGGTGGATGGCGCTCGTATGGTCGTCCAGCGAAATGCTCAGACGGTCTGCAATAAGGACGCAGTAACGAGACGTGGTAGACATCGTGCACACAAGCCTGGCGTAGGTAGTTGGGCAGCTTCACACGGAAGCTGACCGGGCTAGATGCCGTATCAGAACCGACGATCTGGAGGATGCAGCATGGGCCAAAGAAGCGACGCCGAACTTGCGAAGCGTGTCCGCTTCGAGCTGTAAGTGGCGGGCGTCGATAAACACATCATCACCGACTTTGAATGGATGATCCATCCTCGATCGGTTCGCACGTGCTGCCATGCGAGTCTGGGAAGCGACTATGTGCTCATGTGCGGTCTTCATGATCGACGTCATGTACGCAACCCAGTCATCCAGCGCGGGACAACTTGTGTCGGGGTGCATCTGTAACGGTCGGAGGAACTCCGCGGGAACACGAGGGTGATAGATGAGGTCGCAATAGTAAGGCGACATCCCCGTGGCTGGTGAGACGGCGTGGTTGTAGGCTATCTCCGCATGGGCAAGATGGAGATCCCACCACTGGTCGTCACGAACAATCTTTCGGAGAATATCCCCGAGAGTCCTGTTCGTGATCTCGATCTGACCATCAGTCTGAGGATGGTGAGACAAGGAGAAGCGGAGCTGAGTGTCGTACAACTTGTGGAGCCGTCGCCAGAATTGGTAAAGCGCGGGTCACGGTCAGATATGATGCTCAGGGGTAAGCCGTGGTCACGCAAGACTCGGTCAAATACGATGTTGGCGACCTCACGTGCACTGATGGCATAGCGGCACGGAACAAAGCGTGCATGCTTCGTGAAGCGGTCGACGACGACCAGGATAGCATCATGACCGCGAGGGGTCGGAGGACGAAGGGGACCGATAGAGTCCATCGAGATGGACTGCCAACGACCCCCAGGGATAGGAAGAGGCTGGAGCAAACCATAAGGAAGGTGGTTCACACTGTTCACCTCCTGACAGGTGGGACACTCTGGGACGTAGTCCTTCACAAAGTCCTTGCACTTCGGCCAGACGTACAGGCGGCTCTCACGAGCCAACGTCTTGTGGAAGCCCATATGACCGGCGGCGCCCTGGTCATGGAACTCGGCTACTGCTCGGACACGTAGCAGTCCAATGGAGGGAACGCAAATACGGGGCTCTCTGGTGCCCTGTGAACCGTGCCAGTACACAAGACCGTTGTCCCCAAGAGAGTAGTTCGGGACGGTCTTGCCACTCCGAAGGGTCGCGTGGATGTCACGATAATCGGGGCAGGGGCGGTACTGAGTACGAAACTCATCGATCACCGAGTGGTGGACGGTGGTGACTGAGATAGAAGAGAGCTGGATCTGCTCTTGGTCGTCGTCAGGGCGCCGGGATAAGGCATCTGCGACCCGATTAGTCTCACCCTTGATGTGCTCAGTGGTGAAACTAAACTCGGATAGGTCGCGCCACCAGCGAGCCTATCGAGGAGTGAGCTTCGGTTTTGTCAGAAAAGCCTGGACAACAGAGTTGTCCGTACGCACCGTAAACGGTGTCCCGTGCAGGTAGTGACGCCAGTGCCGAGCGGCATAAACCACTGCGAGAACCTCACGTTTATCAGCGGTGTAGTTTATCTCGGCGGGCAGGAGCTGACGGGAGTAGAAGGCTATCGGACAATCACCTGAGCGAGACTCGACAGTGTCGTTCTCGGCGATGGAAGGAGATAGTCAATAGAAGGCTCGTCAGTAGCTGGACGAGTAGGCGTCATTCGGGAAGCAGTGGTAGGGGTAGGGGGTGGAAAGCGAGGGATACGGGGATGAGAGGAATCAAGAGAGGAGGGGAAGACCTGAGAAAGCACTGCTCCTAAAGCAAAGTCTGACGCATCGGTGGTAAGGATAAAAGGGCGATCAAAATCGGGTAGGTGAAGAACCGGTGCGCATGTCACCGCCTTCTTGAGGGCGCGGAAGGCATCCTCGTGGAGGGGTGTCTAAGCCCAGGGTGGGTTCTTCCGGACGAGGGTGGAGGTAAGGACGTAGGAATACCTAGCGTATCCCCGGATGAAATTACTATAGTAGCTGGTCAGGCCTAGGAAACTGCGAAGCTGCTTGGCGGATGTGGGAGCGGGCCACTCCGCAATAACAGTGATCTTCGCGTCGTCCATGTGAAGACCCTGGTCAGACACGTAGTGTCCTAAGAAATCCACTTTGTGCTGGGCAAAGCGGCACTTGCTCAGCTTGGCGTAGAAGCCATGTCTGCGCAAGCGGTCAAGGGCGTCGCGGAGGTGTCGGAGGTGCTCCTCAAGGGCACGACTGTAGACCAGGATATCGTCGAGGTAGACGAGAACGTACAGCTTCAGGATGTCCCTGAAGATGTTGTTCATACCCCTCTGAAAGGTAGCGGGTGCGTTGGTGAGGCCGAATGGCATCACCATAAACTCGTAGTGGCCGAAGCGAGATCGGAACGCGGTCTTCGGCTGGTCGGCTGCAGCGACGCGGATCTGATGGTAACTGCTACGAAGATCAATCTTCGTAAAGAAGCGGTTGCCTGCTAGGCAGTCGAACAGCTCATCGGAAAGAGGCATGGGTTAGTTGTTCTTAACCGTGTAGCGGTTGAGACCACGGTAGTCGATGCAGAGACGAAGAGTTCCATCGCTTTGCGAGCAAAGAGGACGGTTGCACCCCACGGGAAGTTGCTGGGCTTAATGAAACCCAGTCTCAGGAGCTCCTCAAGCTGACGCTTGAGTTCGGTGGCCTCGGGGATCGAGAGTCTGTAGGGTGCCTGGTGGTAAACACGATAGTCAGGCATAAGCTCAATGGAGTGCTCGACGTCACGCATCGGTGGGATGCCGGCGTACGAGAACGACGATGGAAAAACGTCGTGGTACTCTCGGATGAGGTCACGAACTGTGGGCTCCAGGTCGGCCGTATAGCGTGCGAGTTCCTCAACGTCAGCGTCAGTGAGCGACAGTGGGGTGGACTCGACGGACGGCGGAGGGGCGGAAGTAGAGATGGCAGCCATGGAGATAGAAGGAGGATCTGGCTCCAGAGGGATGAGCTCGGCGTCGGGACAGGGTGGATCATAGTGTAAGAGATCCGTCACGTTCACCATAAAGAAGGCGACGTCGTCCTGTCAGATGAAGTGGGCGAACTGCCGAGGCGAGGTGACAGTGATAGAAGGAGGTGGTGTGGGCACGGAAGGCTCCGGGGGAGGAGGATCGGGGCGTGGCGTCGCGGTGGTACCTATGAAAGGTACGCGATACGTCTGTCCACACTTCGTTTTGAGAACGAGAATGTTGGTCGCCCAATCGGCCTCGGTGCTGCGGAACCGACGAGACCACGGAGTGCCGAGAATGAAGTCGTACCCCGTCTCCATCACATCGAAATGTGCAGAGGAGCGGTGGCGACGAGACACCGGGGAACGATCAGTCGGCTCGAGAGTGAGGAAGAAAGGGAGGTCGGTGACCGTCTGATCGAAGAAGCGCTGGGTCTTGTCATCCCATAGGGTGACAGAGATGGGAGATGAAGACCCGGTCGTAGGTAAGCGGGCTTCTTTCACCACACGGGGGTGAATGAAGTTGCCCTGAGAACCAGAATCCCACAGCGCTGAGTACACCCTCGTGGAGGTCCCCAATCGTACTGGATGATCGGGAAGGTGCGATCAGGGTCAGAGAGGATGGTGAGAAGGCGACGCAGGGCAGCGACATGGAAGGTGAGTCGCTCCTGACGAGCCTGGAGCATGCTCAAGTCCAGAAGAGAGGACGCAACGTCCTCGCGAGTAGCGAGCTGCTCGCTGCAACGGGCTGAGCGAATGGCTCGACGCGTCGGTAGTCGCAGCAGGGAAGGAGGGGAGACGGTGGTCTGCGGAGGCGCAAACGGTATTGCGACAGAGGTTTGAGTACACTCTGTCGAGTCCTGCGATACGTCAACTCCTGTAGCAAGAGGGGCGAAGCACGACAGAGATGTCGGGAAGCCCACTACTGAGGAGGGCGCAGGTGTACACTGCACCGTGGCTAGGAGGCGCCGCGGGGATGAGAGGCGTCGGGGGGGAACTGAGCACGACGTTGACGGGAAAGGTCAGCGTAGTGGTGGTCGAGGGCGGTGGTATAAGGGCACCGCGAGGAGGTATGATCGTCCAAGCGGCAGCGCAAACACCTACGTCGGTCCAAAATAGCCGCGCGCTCCTCAGCGGAAAGAACACCGCGAGGAGGGACAAAGCCTTGAGGGAGGTCCTGCTGAGGGACCTCTGGGGGCGACGCGCCAGCGTGACCAGGGCGGCTGCATGCCTGGAAAAGGGTGGAGAGGATGAGCTGGAGGCGCTCAGCCATAGGGAGAGTAGGGTCCTCCACGTGGTGGTGGACGGCCTTGCCAAGGTCGAGGTCGGCGCTATGGTCACCCTCTGGGGACGACGAGGCACCAGCGTCCTGCGCCCCATACTCGAGCGTGCTGAAGCGGCGAGAGAAGTGGCGGCCCTGCTGCGTGGGACGGCGGGGGCGACCACGGAAAGGGGAACGGCGCTGGGAACTGTCGTGAGAGGAGGAGGAGGCGTAACCTGTGCGCTGAGGCTGAGAGGAGGAGGCGAGGTGAAGACGGGTTCGCATCCGTTCATGGTTCCTGGCGGCCTCGTAAGCCTGCGGGGCTGATGTGAACTTGTACCGCCATAGCTCGGAGCGGTACTCGAGCGGGAAGCTGGCCAAGAAACAATCGATAATGGCAACCTCGGGAAGGAACGCCACGTCACAAACGAGGCGGGCGTCCTGAAAAACCTGGATGTGGCGATCCAGGCCGGCAGCGCCACCAGATCCGGACCAGCGTGTAGTGACGACACGCTCGAAGGCGTCAGTCACGTCATATCGGGTTCCGAAGCGATCCTCGAGGAACGCCTTGAAATCCATGAAGGTCGGAGTCCGACCCTCACGCAGGGAGTAAGCATAAAAATCCTCCCAGGCGTCGAAAAGAGCACCACGCAGGCGCGTGGAGAGGTGACCCACCCACGTGTCGGGTGTGGCACCCATGAGCTAGAGCGTGCGGGTGGCAGACTGCAGCCACCTAGACACGCGTCTGCCTGTGCCGTCATACAAGGGAATGTCCGACAAGTGGATGAGTGGTGCGCCACCATTTTGGCGGCGAAGGGAAACGAGGAGTAGGGGACTGCGCTACGGCAAAATAAGTCGGCGCAGGTCCTGGAGGAGGAGGCGCAACTGACTGTACGCCGGGGCCGCATGGTGGAGCGGCGGGGAAAACAGCGGTTGGCTGCGCGGGAGCTGCGGTAGAAGAGGTCGCAGCAACCGAGGGGATGGGGAGGAGGTAGGATGGAGATGGGTAGGAAGCAGGGCGAGGGAAGTGAGCCTGCATGGAAGGAAAAATTTAGGAAGAAGGGGGTGCGCCGGGAGGCGCGGCCACCTGTGAGGGTGGGGGTGGCTGAAGGCGTGACAGGGCGAGGTCGGTCCGGAGTTGGGTCATCTCGTCCTCGAGACCTCAAACGTCGGTCGAGCGAGGTGTGGCAGAGGGAGACGCACGAGCGGCGCGAGGCATCCCACAAGGGGTAGAGCCAGGTGGCGCTGCGGTCGTGCGAAGGAAGGGAGAAGAGGGGCACCCGAAAAAGTTGCGACCATGGTAGTGGGTTATGGTACCGTAGCCGTAGTGACCGGGGTCTGGGCGGGTGCGCCCGTAGACTGAGAGAGGACCTGACTCGTGGCGCCCGTCGTGCTACGAGCATGGACGGTCACCAAGATGGCCGGGTCGGAGGCAGCAGAGGAGGAAGCTCCACCGTGGCCACCCTGTGGGAGGACGGGGGACCCGGACTGGGAGCCAGGAGAAGAGATAGGGTGAGGAGAGGAAGGACAACCAGCGTCCGGGATTTGCCGCACAACGCGGCAAGGGTCACCACCACCGCCTGTAAGGGCGCAAGGGTCGCGAGTTGCGCATATATGAGCGCAAGGAGGGAGGTGAGGAGGGTGTGCAGATCCCCCTGGGGCTGATGGCCCTGCTCCACCGGCACGGGTGTGGAGCCCGATATCGTGGTCATCGCCGTGTCGGCGGTGTGTGACACACCGTCGGTCATGGGGAGATGACGGACCGGACTCGAGGGGGCCTAGAAGAGATCCTCGTGAGCGGAAGGCGAAGGGGGAAGTCCGCGGTAGAAAGCGGCAAACGGCGCTAGCAAGGCTAGCGAGGACGCCGTCAAAGGGGGAGGGGTGGTTCGGGTCTAGGGTGCCCGAAGAGGATGGGGAAGTAGGGGGGTTTTGAAGAACCCTAAACCCTACAAGAATCCTAAGAAAACCCTAACCGAGGTTTAAGTGGTTAGGGTAGGGTACCGGTGACCTAATCAAGAAAGTAAAAAAGCAAGCATAGGGGGGGGAAGGAGGGAGAAAAATAAATAAACATCAATATTTCGAAAGAAAATAAAAATAAATAAGGAAATAAATTAATAATAAAAATAATTAAAGAAATAAGTAAAAAGATGTGAAGGGAAAACAATATTTTATTTTATTTTAATTTTCGGCAGCATTTCCCTACCTCCCACGGGGTCAAGAATGTGCCAAGGGGAAGGAGAGACCAAGGTGAGCACACTAGGTGTGAAGATGCCACAAACAAAAAATAAAAAATAAAAATTTCAGAAAAAGAAAATAATAATAATAAATATAAAAATAAATAAATAAGTAAATAAGTAAATAAGTGGATGAGAAGGTGGGTAGGAATGAAGTATCTAATTTGTAAAAAAAAATTGGCAGCGTTTCGTTACCCCCATGGGGTCGAAGTGTGTCGAAAACACTAAGTAAGAGAAAATCAGAAAATTTTGGCACCCTTCGTTACTCCCACGGGGTCAAAACGTGTGCCGAAAGCAAGAAAGGCTAACACCTAATCAGTTTTAGGGTTGCCGCCCAGAAAGTAGAATTTTCAGAATAAATAAAAAATAAATAAAATAAATCAGAAAATCAGAAAAGAGGGTGGAGAAAAGATGATTCAAATTTTT